TTTCCAAAAGAACCATTTCCATATCCAAGAAGGACACTCACATCATTGTTACCCGCATTGGCCAGAACAATATCTAGTCGAGTGTCGTTGTTGAAATCACCAACAGTCACAGAAAATGGATAAGAGCCAACTAAATACCTTGTTTGATTTTCAAACGAACCATTTCCATATCCAAGAAGGACACTCACATCATAGCTATGATAATTGGCGACAACAATATCTAGTCGAGTATCGTTGTTGAAATCACCAACAGTTATAGAAAATGGAGAAGAGCCAACTGAATACCTTTTATGATTTTCAAAAGAACCATTTCCATATCCAAGAAGGACACTCACATCATTGCTCTCCGAATTGGCGACAACAATATCTAGTCGAGTATCGTTGTTGAAATCACCGACAGTTAGACAATATGGAGAAGAGCCAACTGAATACCTTGTTTGATTTCCAAAAGAACCATTCCCATATCCAAGAAGGATACTCACATCGTTGTTGCCATAACTGGCAACAGCGATATCTAGTCGAGTATCGTTGTTGAAATCACCAACAGTTACACACATTGGATGAAAGTCAACTGAATACCTTGTTTGATTTTCAAAAGAACCATTGCCATATCCAAGAAGGACACTCACATCATCACTAACCATATTGACAACAACGATATCTAGTCTAGTGTCGTTGTTGAAGTCACCAACACTTAGAGATATTGGATAAGAGCCAACTGAATAGATTGTTTGATTTTCAAAAGAACTATGATTGTATGGAACAAAGATATCCACATGATCACGTCTATCGTAAGCGACAACGATCTCCGATCGTTTATCATTATTAAAATCACCAGAAGCCATAAGTAATGGAGGCGAATCAAGACCAACTTCATAATTTGTTTCAATTGCAAATATGCCCTTCCCATTTCCAAGCATTATATCTACACGCTTTGTATCACTATTGGCCACAGCAATATCCACTACACGATCACCATTGAAGTCCTCAACCGCGATGGAGATCGGATGAAAATTTGTGTCAGTACTGAGCATCACTTGATTTTCAAAACTATCATTTCCATATCCAAAAAGAACGCCGATATTATTAGTGCCGTAATTAGCTAAGACGATATCCAGATTAGTGTCATTATTTAAATCACTAATGACTACATATCGTAGGCTAGAACCACCGCCAGGTGCCAAGCTCATTTCATACGTAATCACTCCTGTATTATATTGCAGAAGGACACTCACATCATTGCTATCCCTATTGGCGACAACGATGTCTAGTCGATTATCCTTGTCGAAATCACCAACAGTTACAGATATCGGATAAGAGCCAACTGAATACCTTCTTTGATTTTCAAAAGAACCATTTCCATATCCAAGAAGGACACTCACATCATTGCTAACCGCATTGGCGACAACAATATCTAGTCGAGTGTCGTTGTTGAAATCACCAACACTTAGAGATATTGGATAAGAGCCAACTGAATACCTTCTTTGATTTTCAAAAGAACCATTCCCATATCCAAGAAGAACACTCACATCATTGCTAACTGCATTGGCGAGAACGATATCTAGTCGAATATCGTTGTTGAAATCACCAACAGTCACAGACACTGGATGAGAGCCACCTGAATATCTCGTTTGATTTTCAAAAGAACCATTCCCATATCCAAGAAGAACACTCACATCATCACTAACCATATTGGCAACAACGATATCTAGTCGAGTGTCGTTGTTGAAATCACCAACAGTTACAGAGATTGGATGAAAGCCAACTGAATACCTTCTTTGATTTTCAAAAGAACCATTTCCATATCCAAGAAGGACACCCACATCATTGTTATCCGAATTGGCGACAACAATATCTAGTCGAGAGTCATTGTTGAAATCATCAACAGTTACAGACATTGGATGAGTGCCAACTGAATACCTTCTTTGATTTTCAAAAGAACCATTTTCATATCCAAGAAGAACACTCACATCATAGCTATGATAATTGGCGACAACGATATCTAGTCGAGTATCGTTGTTGAAGTCACCAACAGCTACAGCTTGTGGGAAAGAGCCAGTTGAATACGTTATTTGATTTTCAAAGGAACCATCTCTATATCCAAGAAGAATACTCACATCATTGCTAACTACATTGATAACAACGATATCTAGTCGAGTGTCGTTGTTGAAATCACCAACAGTTACAGATATCGGAGAAAAGCCAGCTAAATATCTTGCTTGTCTTTGAAAGTCTTCGGAACGCCCAAGGAGAATATCAATGGCACCAGTATCATTGTTTATAGCAGCAATATCTAATCGGTGGTCCTTGTTGAAATCACCTACGGCAACTGAAATCGACGAAGTAGCTCCAGTAGAATACATGATTGGATTTGCAAAACTGCCATTTGGATATCCAAGAAGTACTCCTATATTGTTAGTTCCTCTATTCGCGATGGCTATATCCAATCGATTATCTCGATTGAAATCTCCGACGCCAATCGCATAGGGAGAAGCAGAATTGATGAAATAGTTCGCTTGTTTAGCGAAAGTTTCATTGCCATTGTTTAGAAGCACACCTATTGCGTGAGTTCCAGAATTAGCAATAGCGATATCGAGAAAGTTGTCGGCATTGAAATGACCAACGACGATGGAGTATGGCTGAGAACCAATGCCAGTTGAGATGGTAGTTTTCTTTGCAAAAGTACTATTGTTATTTCCAAAAAGTATGTCCACATTATTAGTGCCATAATTTGCAATAGCGAGGTCTAAATAGTTGTCATTATTGAAATCTCCAGCCGCTAATGAGGATGGAAATGAATCGTAACCTATCAAATACGTCATTGGAGGTGAAAAACTTCCATTTTCATATTGATAGTATATACTGATACTATGGTTTCCGTAATTGGCGGTGACAATATCAAGTAGTGTGTCATTGTTGAAATAACCACCAATAATCGCTATCGGACGAGATGAGCCTGTTGAAAGTTCTATTCGACTCACGAAAGATCCATTTCCAAATCCATAAAAGATAGCGACATTGTTAGTGCCAAAATTCGCTACTGCAATATCCAAGTGAGAATCATTGTCGATATCATCAACTGTAACCATGTAAGGGCTTGAATAGGAACCGGTTGAATACGTGATTGGACTTTTAAAATTGCCATTACCATATCCAAGATACACACCTATTTTGTTAACTGCATGATACGCAATAACCATATCCAAACATGTGTCATTATCGAAATCACCGATGGCGACAGATCGTGGACCATACTTATATTCAATTGGTTTTTGAGCCGTTGGTTTGAATTTGAGCTCACACTTTTGAACTAAACGACACATGAAAAGCTGTGTGATGACTGATTGGTTTCTCATGTGCAACTATCCCTGTTTGATCGTATTGAATCCTCAGAAGTTCTATAGTATGCTGCCAGAAATTGTCGTATTACGGTATTTGGACGCAACTCAAAATCAATCATCTGTCATTAGAATTCCACTTAGTTGCTTGAAATTCAGATAGAGGTAGATATATGCGATTATATCATGCAGATTAATTGTCTATTTTCTTTCTTTGATTTACTCTAGAATTCGTTCAAAAAGTGCGTTATCTTTGAGAATTGAGAAAAACGTCAACGAGTACAGTATGAATGAAGAGTATAAAAGTGTGCCAAACTGCGTGATCAAATGTAATCACTTCCACATTTTATAATTACTTTTTCTAGCATTTGCTTTGCTAAAAGTTTGATAGAAAAGATGAAGATTTCATATTGTTACACGATCAAATGGTTATCAAAATTATGGTGTCAGGAAATGCTTTCAGAGATTTCATCAGTATTTTGAACTGATGATTACATTACCAAACAGAGTAGAAAAATTTCTGCCACGAATACTCGAGAATTACGATGGACAAAACTATGAGGATAGAGAGAAGGATGCGAATCGACTGGTTGAATAATCAGACACGAGCAGCACTATATCTAAGCAAAGAAAAGAAAAAGACACAGAGAATGACATCCTTCGTCATAAATGTAGGTACCAGCGGTTTCATGATATAAACAACAAATAAGGTTCGATAATTTTTTTGCGACACATTTGCAATTACTTAGTTCAGATTTTTTTCTTACAATAACAAACCTATGACTTAAATTGGTTTATTCCGACAGAAATTATCATACGTGGTATTTTGAGTTTTTAGTTACAGGTCTTCCATGTGAAATTATTTTACCTACAATAAGTGGCTAACATATCAATAAAAAAGAGCATACCAATAGCTTGTGGTGAAGTGAAACGAACTGTTAGTATACCAATAACCATTGCTACAACTGTGAATACAGCAAATGCACCTGCAGCAGTTGAAGATCGATGTCGTGACCAACACGAATATTCCCTATTAAAGACATTCTATACATAATCATGGTTGAACACAAAAGAAAATGACATACAAAGGTGTTGGAATTATTGGCGTTTTCTGCTTTTTATTCGTAACAGTGGCCATTTTTGCTGAAATGGATTCATTTTGAGTTGATTTTTCATGTCGTTCCTTGTTAACATGAGGACCTTGTTCTGTACTTGAATGTTCAACTAAGATAGTATTATTATCCATAGAATTTTCATTCATCTATAGTAAAAGAATACTATTAAAATAAAAGATAGTTTTCGGCAAGTAGTCATCGTTCACCAGAATACTTTTCTACAAATTACCTTTCGAGTTATCGATATTGTCCTTTCTATGTTAAAAAGTTGCAAAGTCTTGAGAAATTAGAAAATATCAAAAATATCGAGATTAATTACATGAGTAATCCTAATTTAGAATTTAAAATGATTAGATGTTCGTTTTCTTTTGAAAAAGTTACTCATTTGTTAGGTACGAATAGCGTCTTAATGAACACTAAAATAATTGGGCTATTTCAAACGAAGACAGTGCTTCAAATATTTTCCATCTCATCCAAAAGCAAAACATAGATGGATATTGTAAATATGTACATAGAAAACAGTTTCACCCAGTATTCAATGACATATGCTTCCACAAAAGTTCTTGGTTTTGGTGTAAAATTGATTCAATGGGCCGAATAATATTTGCTAAAACACGTTTTTGCCTGAAATTCATTAGTTTACATATGCGTAAACCTTCCATTGGCAACATTTTTCTTTTTAATTTGTCTTATTTCTTTATAGATTGGTCTTCGAAATCGTTTTGATCCTTGAGAATGTAATTTATAAATTAAATGATACATTGTATTGTCTAGTATGATTTAGACGTATCAGCCAATGAATTTCAATTTTTTTTGAAATTTATTGTTTCTATAAGATATTCTGGCAATTCGATCATTGAAAACAATTCTTTTCAATAATCATTATAGATCGAATAATCAGAAAGGCTTTTCATTTTATTCAACTCAACATACACAACTTCAGTGATTGGATTACGATAGTCGTGATTATGATGAGATTCAAGTTGCAGATGTGATACCCATCTAAGACCTTATTTTAGTTCGATTTTCAAATCTGAAATAATTAGGTACTGTTTCACAATAATGCGACATGCACTCGTCTATAGTTTCTAAATAATATTCTGTTCAATAGTGAAAAATATTTTTATCTATACTTTATCGGCAATGTTAATCAAAAAACCACGTACGAGATTGACACTAAATATAAAAACAGCAGTGTACCAGGTGAGAGATAATATATATATATACTAATTCGACTCTATTTGTTTGTTAATCAACTGAAGATATCTTTGAGGAAAGGTTTAAAAGGTTTTTATAAGACATTTGTATATATTCTTCCATTATTACAGAAAATTTTTTTTACAATCGGAAGAGTAAGTCTAAAAAAGAGTGACGACTTTTGCACTCACATAATGTTTGGTTGAACATTGGACTAAATCTAATTAATCAAAATAAAAAAATTGACTAACATATTCGATTAAAATGGATGTCTTTCAAACCTGGACACTTGTCACAAATTTAGTATTTTCTAATCTTGTTTTCCATTTCTTCAAAAACAAAGTTAAGAGTCTTATGCAAGAATTTCTTCAGCTCATACCATTCTTTGAGCTCCTATCGATCTGATAAATTCGATTTACCATAAAAATAATATTCTAAAAAAGATTTTACTCAATGTTGATTAGTTTCAGAAAAAATGAGCACAACTATATAATTTATGTACTTCAGTTTATTTTATTCTTATTATCTTGCAATAATTAAAATCAGAAATAATTTTTTTTGTTTATTAACCTACTGATATTGATGATCGATAAGAGACGCCTCTTATCACTTCTTACTCTTGAATAAAAAAATAGAAAATCGAAAAAAAAAGAAAGATTCAAGATAGTTATGTGTGAAAATCTAGTTTTCTATGCACAGAAAATGACCAATGTTCAAATAGTAGTATTTGGTCAGAGCATTTAGAGCACACTCTAAAAAAAATAGGTTTATTACTGACTTTAAAAGTTTCTTATTTAGGTATGGAACCTTTTTAGGTTTCGTAAAATAAAAATCGTTTCGCATTTTCCCCGCAAAACCTTTTTTCGTTCAGAAAAATTCGATGAGTTAGGTATTTTTCATACCGAACGATTTCCAGGTCCAATAAAAAAATCAAAAAGTTTCGCACTTTTCACATAGAACCATCGTGTCTCCATATGATGAAACAAAGGCTTCGTGTCTTCCTTACGAAACTCCGTGTGGTTTGGTAAGATAAGAAATGATTTTGTATGATTTGTGGACAACTTTTGATAGTTCTGCTCGCAAAAAAAAGTTTCGTATTTTTTCTACGATGCTTACGGTGTTCGAATCATACAGTAGAAGGTTCTCTAGTGTTCTTATGGAACTCTTCACAGTTCTATAGAATGAAAGAGGGTTCTGTATCTTTTCTTCCGAACCCTTTGAGTGCTTTAAGAAAAGAAAAAGGTTTCGTGTGTTCTCCACAATATCTTCTGCAAGAATGATTAGTCTCAAACACTCTTTCCAAATCTTTCTTTATGTAGGTGGAAATCGAAAAGTTTTATAGAAAACCCTTTGAATGAGCGGCATGTCCAAAATTCTTTATATGAATCAACCCGTATAAAGGACAGATCACAACAGTTTTTGACTCGCTAAAATTACTCGATATTTCACAATTAAATTATGTTTTTGATTATCCATTATTATCATTAACCGTTCAAATGGTGAAGAATCAATGGGATTAAAAGTCATTAGATTTAATTTGCTGCTTTAGAGGTATTTAGCATAGAGAGCCATTGATATTACTTCTGTCTTTTTACCATACTTCACTCACTTGTGTATTACGCAGTTAGACATTGATACAGCATTTTCTATTCTGAAGAATGATATTCAAGATGAGTGTAAAGATGCATATGTATGGTCATAAGAGAATAGAGGTAAGAATGAAGTCATAAGGATATACTAACCACGAGATAGATGTAAGGCTATAGGTGTAACATTACATCACTAGGGGTAACCAGCGGAGCCTAAGACTTCAAAAGGACTGGAAAAGGCTTCAGGCATCTAGACTACAAGTGTTCATAATATACCTTTCTGCAGCGTCCCCTTTGATAAAAATATATAAAAATATAGCTATACCGCTGAAGTTCTCAGCATATAATAATAAGGATATACAATAAGGATACAGTCACAAGAGTGCAAAGATAAAGAAATAGCCCTACGACTATAGCCTTAACGGTATACTCATAAAAATATACTTATAGGCGGTCAGGTAAAATTCTAAGTGACTAAATATAGAAATCAGAATTCAGATATCAAAATAAGGGCTTTGGCATAGTTGTAAGATGTGAGATATACTTCTGATGCATTAAGTAAACAAATAAAGGGTTACAACAATTATCAGGTGCAATCCACAGTATAAGGGATTAAGTACAGGAATAAGGCATTACAAATTGAGAAAGAGGTCACCCGCAGTTACGAGGAGAGTTTAAGACAGTCACAATATGTTAGCCATTCGATTAACCATTAGACACAGTTATTAGGCTTTGAGAATATTTATGACGCTTCCGCTATAGGAAAAAGGGATAATGTATACTTATCAGAGCCTAATCCAGTGAAAAAAATGTCAGATTATAATCGGATTTTTGTGCAACAAAACACAAATTATAATCGATTGACATCTTCTAAAGCAACGGCAAATTGATTTTTAATCAAAAATAATCTTCTAAATCAAGTATAATTTTGATTACGATCATATGTTTTTGATTTGATATGATTTTAATCAAAACTATACGATTATAATCAAAATTATACTTTATTTAGAAGATTATTTTCGATTAAAAATCAATTTATCGTTGATTTAGAAGATTTCAATCGATTATAATTTTGATTTTGTTGCACAAAAATCCGATTATAATCTGGCAAAATCTGATATGATCTGACATTCTTTCACTGGATAAGTACACTTATAAGGTATTAGACATATTTATCAACGGTTAAGCATAGAGATAATAGGTCACAGTACAAAGTAAGGAATTAAACATACTTAACCCCTTCACCGTTATTGACGTATATATACGTCAAAGCAATCTTTATGGAAAAATCATAACTACAATTCCTTAACTTTGTTTTCTTTGTATGCTCTGCGTCGACTTTAACATCCTACACTGGCTTGAGCTCTCTCTACCGGTTCTGATGTTTCATATCGGCTATGTTCCTTTGTGTCAGTTATATTATTATTTTTTGCAAAAATTTTATTATTTAGTTTTAAAAAAATTTAACAGTCAAGGGGTTAAAACGGGGTAGGTATAGAAATAAGGGATTATATATAATTTTAAGGGGTTAAGTGTAGAAATAAGAGATTACATATAGTTATAAGAGGTTAAGTATTGAAATAGGGGATTGGTTATAGTTGTAAGGAATTAAGTGTAGAAATAGCGGATTAGTTATAGTTTTCAGAAGTTCTCAAGCAGACAAACATTTTAAAAAATGTGTTTAAACATTTCAAACGGGAACCGCGATCGTGAGCCATTCACACTTATTAGAAAAACGCAAGAAATGCCGTTTTTTGCGTTTAAATTTCATTTTCAGAGCGTGAAAACGATGAAAAATTCAAAAAATGAGCATTAAAACGCATTGTTTTTAAATTTCAGAACAAAAGCGCGTTATAACACTAAAACTGGAGTGTTTCATCGTTTTCACGCTCCGAAAGTGAAAATTAAACGCAAAAAATGGCGTTTCTTGCGTTTTTTAATGAGCGTGAATGGCTCACAATCGCAGTTCCCGTTGAGAGCGTTTAAATGCGTATTTTTAAATTTTTGTCTGCTTGGGTGGTGTGATACGAAACGTTTTTTCTACGAAACCGAAAAAAGTTTCTTTCCGTGTGCCCGCGGGAAGAACCTTTTTTGGTTTTTTCAAAAACCTTTTTTGTTTAGAATGTGAGTTGTTTCCTGGAATATTCTGCTTTCAATTTTCTACAAAGCCTTACAGAAATAGTCAACGCAGATATAAAAGAAAAAACTTACAACAATAATACTACAAAAGTCTACTAGTAATAACTTTCGAGGTGTTTTCATTGATACTGACTAGCGTTTTTTGCTAGTAATGAACCAACATGTAAAAGTTCTATGTAGAAAATTTATATTTCAAAACACTAGTCCTTGTCTTGCATGCT